CGCCATTCTGACTTTCTTCTGCTCAGAAGACTTTCCTAATGGATGCCAGATGCCAATACAGCAACATGACAGTGGCGCTAGGGCTATTGGGACTTTTAGTGCTTCCTGCATGTTTCAGCATCCAAAATGCGAAGAGCACTGTAACATCCCGCGCTTTCATGATCGAACGTAAGCTCGAGGGCTAAGCCATATGGTAGCTCATCTCAGAAAGATAATGATTCAAACGAATAGACGGACTAGAAAACTGGGATGCACAAAGGTGTATTCATATCTACAATCTTAACACTTTATGACTTTCCAGATGATTTGCATACCTCAACGGCACCAGGATTCTCCATCCTTCGGACGGTTTCTTCTGTGATAGGCTCGACTTGCGGCTTGGTTTCTCCAGTGTCAGATCCCTTGACATGCTCTCTCTTGATCTTGACGTCTGTTTTGAATCGAAGTGTAAGAGAATAAAGAGAGGTTGAGATGTAATGAATCCATGACAATGAACCTATAACATCCTTCTCTGAAAATTCATTGAAATTTTTCAAACTGTGCAACCTCTTTCACGTACCATATCGTCCAGTATCTGCGTTGAGGTCTCCACGAACGATCTCGTGACGGAGCATATCAGCAGCTTCATCAATTCCTGCCACCATTGCTTCAAATTCGGGTCCAGATGTGGCCACTGCCTTGTTTCGTTCAAATTCAGCACGCATTTGCATGCGGGAAACTTGAATGGCGTGATCGTCTCCTGTGAACAGTTGAATCCGGGCTCTGTTCAACCGACGGAATCCAGATAATACTCGTGATCTAGCGACAGACATTGTTGTAGTGAAGTATCAATTTGTTACTTGGTGAAACGGTACTTTATCAGCAGTAAAATGGAAGCTGATAGTGCAGTCGTACTAGTAGGTGCAATGGACATGAAGAATGAGGTCAACAACGTCTGTCGTCTATCGCGTCTCCCCGTGAAAAGAGCATTCGAATGAATCGAATGATTCATTCATTTCATTTCGTTTCGAAAATCTTCACCACTATATAGAAGACCGCAAATCTCTGGAGACGTACATATACTCTCCAAGACAGTCAATACAGCTATCGCATCTTCACTCTCTGTCAATAATGTCTAGCGGCGATATCTCGCAACTCACTGCAATGGGCTTCGACGAGCCGAGCTCACGACAGGCTCTTGCTAGTGCCAATGGAAATGTGGAAACTGCAGTCAACATTTTGTTGGGTGTGATTCCAGCTCCAGCAGCTCCGTCTTCAAGCAGTGCCGCTTCGCCCTCGGCAGCGGATGTTGGAGATATGATTGTATGTCCTACGAGCCAATACAGTGTGGACAATGGGCGTTCAGCTTGCACTTGCATCGCCTTGACGGCGGCGACAGACTTTCTTAAACTCTCTGGTGGTGGTAGTGTGGCTCTGAATGCTGAATTTTTGCAAAACATGATCATGAATGGGGTTCAGAATTACCAAACGCTTTCTTCTGCATCTCCTGTGGAGCATTTGTCAGCCGAAGAAGTTTTGCAGAAGGACCAAGGGAAATGCTTTCCACTGTCAGTGCGTGGAGGTATTCGACAAGGAATCTTGAGTAGTGACTCCTTTCATCCAATGGGCATGCAAGCGTTGCTGGAAGGGATTCAACAAGAGCAACAGGGTCAATCTAATGCATATATTGCCGTTTTGATCACCAAAACTCCTGAAACAGTCTTGGTGTGCCTACCAGTGTCCGGTAGCAATAGCGCACACTGGTTGATTGATTCGCATCCACGGGCGGCTCATCTTGGAGCCGATGGGTCATACGCCAAGCCACATCCCAATCTTGCTTCGTTACTTTTAAGCCTCCAAGCAATATTTCCACCAACCGAGTTGGGCCCAGACATTCCTGAAATGATGGCAATGATGTACAATAGTTTTGACATGTATCCTCTTCAAATGAACTAGGATATGATTTTGGCAAAAGAAGCAAAGAATAATGGAGGTGTTCATTGATCTTTCAAAGCGATTCAAGCTTTCGACTCTCATTGTAAGAGGGTAGCAAGAGGTAGACTTGCTTTGAACTCAAATATGCTTTTTCGGAACAAGATGAAGGAGTTCGGGTGGACCAAGCTGAACAATCTTGAAGGAATCTAGGCGAAAAAGTAACGCTATGGCTAATCAACCGCAAGTTTTGAAACGTAGGAGAACTGCTCTTTTCTTTGATTGGCAACTTTTGTGTTTGAAGCATAGTCCGCTCTTTCGCTGTTGTCTGTGAAATGGTAGCAAAATTGTATGCAAGTATACATCAAGTCCATTTCAGCTTGTGAGATATATGCTGTTTGCTTAGATTTGAAGAATAAGTATAAAGCTTCGAAAAAGTGTTGCATGTACCATGATTATTATTTTACATATTGCAATTGAGAATACTCATCAATGTTGTTTATTTTATCTTAATGTTGAAGGAACACGCGGACATGTTTTGACCATCAGCCAAGAAATCACAGCTGACTACAGCTGGAATGCCAAGGTTGGACAAGCACCCTCGAATAATTCCACAGGGAAACGCTAATAACTGGATTGCTGTAACACGGGCAGTCTCGGTGTTTGGTGGTAGTCGAGTCAGCCACCTTAATTCCATGTCCTTCAATACAAAAACACCCCGGTGATTGGTTTGCAATTTGTCTATTTGCTTTCTGAAAACTTCCATCCAGATTTCTTTACACAAAAACTTGACAGCTTCCAATTGAGCTGCAGCCACGGCCATGCTTGGATCTTTGCCACCTGCCGAGAAGGTTCGATTTTGAGCCATGCGCTCGCACAACCGATACCCTACGGAAAACCCCATGCGTTCCATCTTGGCAGCGGCCATTTCCTTGGCAAAAATTGCTTGCTCTTCAGTCTCACCTTCTTTAGGAGTAGATTCTTCCACGTATCGTAGAACCTCAGTCATGAGGAATTCCATGGCCGCATCGGATACAGATGTTGGATAGGACATTTGTTATTTATTCTGGCTGTTCTGCCTCCTGTCTATTTCTGCTGCTCTCTTGGTCACGTCAGTTGATTCTGATTGTGTTACTTGCGTGAGTTTTGTTGGGTCTGTAGACGTGTACTGGGATAAGAACTACAATGACAGTCTTGTGGATTTGGGTTTTGGTTTCATTGCAGCGAGTTTCAAAAGTTGAATCGTTGGAAAGCCTTTCGAAGTACCTTGTATGAAACCCGGATCCATTCCGCACCCAAATTTCTGTCAACCAAATATATACCGGTAAGACAATAACAGTAATATAAAAGAATATAAGCACGTTTCAGAAGTGACCAATGTCATGGCTCACAAACCAAACACACCATAATTTTGAAAAAGGTATCTTGAAAGAAGACACGAAAGCACGAGGATTATGAGTTTACGGCGAGAGGACTTTGCAGGTATATTGGTGCAACATGGTCACTGTGGTGACTTGGACGAAGCCACAGTGCTTGCAGACCTTGTCTATCAAGAAATCCCCATTCTCATGGAGACAACTGAGGACGACGAAACTATCCGGCCTGCAGAGGAAGAAATATTAGAGTGGCAAAGTCTTTTGCAAGATGTTTTGGGTGTGGAAGAAGACGAGTCCAACTTGCTCTTGAAGCAGTTGCTTCTAGTGGACGAGGAGGAGGAGGAGGAAGAAGAAGATGCTTCCGAGAATGACGTTGCCGACGAAGACTCTGATGACGAAGACTCGTTCCCATTGTTTGATGGGCATTGTCCGATGTGTGAAAGGTACATCAAGCTGACTAAACACCATCTAATCCCCAAGGAGACTTGGCCGCGAGTCGGAGTCAAACTGCGGAATGCTGCAGAAGCCAAGAAAAGGGGGGACCTCGAAAAAGCAACCATGATTCTAGGCGACGGCTTGATTCACCTCTTGGATCAGCTGGGAGACGCGAAGAAATCATCCATCAAAGCAATCATGTGCGGAACTGCTGATATCTGTCGGCCTTGCCACTCTCATGTTCATAAAACTCATGACAACCTGACACTGGCCTGGTCGTACAGCACTGTTGATTTGCTCCTGCAAGATGAAAACATTGCCAAGTTCTGTAAGTGGGTTAGCAAACAAAAGCCGGGGAAGTATGCAATAAGATGAGAGAATACTAGCTAGCTGTACCTTATTTTTGGGGCATTTCTGGTTGTTATTTTAATCATTGCACAATCCATCATTCGTCGACAAGGGTGATGAATAAAATTTCATGCATTATTCATAAGCAGTTATACAAATTAGAAGCAGCATCAAAATATCGACTCAGCTCTATTTTACTCTTGTTTTTTCTTGGACACATGACAACTGTTGATTGATTGGTCCATTCAATCAGGTCAAATGACTAAATCTTTTCCCTAGACAGTATCGAAGACATCACCCAATTCATTTCGTCGCAACATGGTTCGATAGCAATCCTTTATTTGTCCACTGGTGCGGTACTGCAAGGTAACCTTCCACCTTTCCTTGATCTGGGCCCACTTTCCAGTTCCCAACTCGCGAATGCCTTGCTTAATAGCATTCTTTTCCTGGTCGTTCCAAGCACGACGTCCAGCGTATTGCTTGATTTGAGTTCTTTTGGGACTTGTCTTGGGTGATTTCTTGGGAGTGGAAGCAGCTGCCCTCTCGGGCAAGTCGCTGAGCAAAGTATCTTCCGAAGGGTCGGGAATATCTTCGTCATCATCATCATCAAAGCTCATCTGTGTTGCACTTTTTTTCTTCTTCAAGAGTTCTTCACCACCTTTACGCTTTCGTTTCTTGGAGGAAGAATTTTTTGCTTCGGGTTTTACGTCCTCTTCTTCTTCAGGTTCAGCTGGAATCTTGGTTGCCGCCCTTCTTCCGCCTCTTGGGGTTGAAGCCTTTGAAGCCGCTGCTACGGCTTCTTCGAGCGGGTCGTCAACACTATCCATGAGTCTAGCTCTTGAACTTCGTAGATTTTGTACTGCGGCAGCCTGATCTTCCGTCTCTTCTTCCTCCTCCTCGCCATCGTCACTATCCTCGGCTTCATTGCCATCTTCGTCATCATCTTCGCCAAAATGCAATGAATATAGCCGAGGGTCTGGAAACATATCTTTATTCCAACTCTTGAGCTTCTCGATAGTCTTGGTGGCTATTCGTTCCACTTTTAATTGATCATTGTCCAGTACTTGGCGGACAGTTTTGATGTCCTTCATCTTCAAGTCGCCAGAATTTTCATCTTCTATTACCAACTCTTTCAAGACACTCATGAGAATTGGGTCTTCCAGTTTTTCAATTTCTTTGCTGTAAATATTGAATTGAAGGGTGAGAAAAGGTGTGGGTGTTTGATTATTGTTCCAATACTCCCATTCGAACCAAAACAAAAACCTTACTGAAAGTTGTTCATAATTGTACTGCTAACTTTGGGAGTACCTCTCCTTGGGGTGCTTCTCGTTGGACTTGTTGGACTAGCCTTCTTTGCGCTGCCGACCAAATGATCCTTGAGAGCAGATCGTAAAGGAGCAAGGAGTGCACAGACGTCAAGCCCTCTGCAAAGTTTCTCAATGTTGTATTTCTTAGATGCGGCCCTGTCGTCCGCAATAGTCTCGTCGTTCTCTTCATTGATACCGGCGGTGGCTCCTTTCTCAAGGACCTTCTCGAGGACCTCGCTCAAGCCTTGCTTGCATTCCTTCCAGTCTTTTCTGGACCACTCGTCGAGAGGACTGACATTGTAATCTGCAAAGGCGTCCGCGTCTACGTCGGAATTCATAAGAAGAAGACCAACGGTCAAATCAACAGTCTCTAACAACATTTTGGTACGAGTATGGATTCGTCCATATTCCAAACGCCCATCGTCGGGAAGAATCTCATAGAATTGCTGATTTGGTGAAACGATGAAGGAACGATGAACGAATGATTAGAACAATGACAGATGAGCATCAATCCATACACAATGTCAGAGGGGCCTCGCACCTGAAAGTTCTGAAAATACTTCAGCTGTTCTTGGCCTTCAGACTCCATTGCAAGGTGTCCGAAGAGGTCCAGATTGTCCTGAATGGACTCATGAAACATATCGAACACCATTATTGTTGCTTTCGATTACGGAAGTAAACGCAGGTAGGGTTCTGAAAATTATTTTTTTGCCACCGAAAGTAGGGTTACGGGAGGTCATCATCGTGAGTAGCCACAATACGTGCCATCATACAGTACACGTACCGGTAGTATGGCAGGCTACGCTCTCTTCCATAGGAGAGAAAAAATGGGCGCGGTAAACGACTAATTTAGTTCGGTTAGTTGTAAATTGGTACTGGATCATCGGAGAGTAGACCATAATGCCGCAAAAGCTCCGGAGATAAGGTTAATGGCAAATCATGTGTAATTCTTTCTACCAGAGGACCAGCAATACTCTTTGGCTGGCGGTGAATCGACGAGAGTGCCCGTTGTCGGAAGAACAACTCGGATCGAAATGGTGATGTGGATTGATTTGCCATCCCTTGTAGGTGGCAGTTGGATAGATTGTTGAAAGTTCTGTCTAGAACTTGGTGTGCTGTCAGTGGTCTCAAGAACTGAACATTCCATGGGACACCATACGAAGCACAAATTGCTTGGCAATCGCGTTCGGAAAGCACTCGGCCAGTTCGGAAAACATCGAGATAGAGTGTTTCTCCTGTTCCTCTTTCTCCATCATCGGCTTGGAAACCAAGAACCACATGCCCAGGAAGACCCACTAAATAAGTGAATAGATTCACTCGTCTGCAAACACAGGCAAACAGGATACATAGTGTGATTGGGATGCCCTTTTTGGTCTCCAGAACGTGGTCCAAAAGAGAGTTGCGGTAGTCATAGTAGTTCTCTGTATTTCCTGCAAACTCGTGCTCTTTGACTATGACATCCTTGACAATAAGAAGTTTATCTGCAATAGGCATCGGCTTTCCCGCTAATATTTCAGCTTCTTCTATTCGATTCCTGCAATCATCTGCGATTTCGTCGAGACCTTTAGAGACGCTGTCAGCAATTCCATATCTGTCCGAGACCAACTGCTGCTCTGGACTTTGTTGAATTTGGCAGATTAAAATTGAATACTTCTCCATCAGAATCAAGTTGGCTTCAGTTGTTTGCGACAAGTCCTCAAATGTGAGATCTTTCCAATCCAGCAGGCACTCTCCAAATTCAATATTTTGCAAACACCGGCATGCCAGAAATCCCAAGAGCCGACGAAATACAGTCGGTGATTCTGGGTGATTCTCTCGAGCCTCTTGCCTCAGCATATCGGTATAGTTTCGATGCATTAGAGTTGCGCTCCGAGAGGCATGGCCGTCCCAAGACTTTCCAATGTGCGGATCATCGGCGACTGTAGTCTTTCGTCCATCTTCAAGGTCGAGAATTCGTTGCAACTCTTCGGTTATTTCGTGTAGTGTCTTGGACATTGAAGTATCTAATGAGTGACGCTGAAAATAATCCTCTCGATACGATTCTGGGACTTGGCTTCTTGAGCTCCAAGTCCATCGCGTCTTGTACAGCTTCTCCCAGATGGTTTCATTGTCGTGAATCCTCTTGTACAATGTAGATGAACACAACGCCAGACGGCCAACTGCAATCCCATCATTCACAAGGTAATCCAGGATGAGATTGAAAACATCGTTGGATATATTGTCCATTGTAGATGTGTAGAGTTGCAGAGCTGGAAGTTACTGGTTATCGATGAAATTATGATGACGATGACATGTTTTTGAAGTTCGAAGAATTCAGAACAAAAAACGATCGATTGATTGATTCAACCGACTTCAATTTGGACAGGGAAGAAACTCTTCAGTCTATTTGTTCTCTTGATTACACTACCTGGTTCAGGGCAGGTACTGTAGGGTACTGCTCTACAGTTCAATCGAAATCTACCGTATGATATCCCAATGCTGACTGACTTTGGGAGACCATGAAGCGATTAGAAGTGGAAGTCATACGAGCCCCCAACGACCGCCGAGGATTTCGATGCAGTCTTGCTGGACGCAGCAGTCTCCTTCTTTCGGCGTCTTGCTTTTTGGCTTCGCCCAGTGGCATCAGAAACTTGGGAAGTACTAATCGAGGATAGTTTGCGCTTCTTCGATCCGTCGGTCGTCTTGGAACCTGTTGGTGCCTTCCGAGATCTACTACTCGAAGCGCGAGACACAGTCGTGGCGTCTTTGGATCTTTTTGACTTGGAATCCGAAGAAATCGAGCGACCGATGCTCGAAGTAGACACTTTGGACTTGATTCTTCCTTTTGATAGTCTGGAAGAATGGGACTTGCCTGTCTCGGTGTCAATAGGTTGCGAGGAGCTTGATGTGGAATGAGGCTTTTCCGAAGACTTTCGTCGATGAGATACCTTCTCCCCGCCGTCTTCCTTCACTTCCTTCCACCGAGACTTGTAGGCATCTCCGTCTCCGAAATCATGAGTACTAGACCTACTTTGGGGGTCGCGCTCGATCTTGCGATCTTTTGGACTCTTCTTGGAAATCTCATCGTTTGACTTGTCGGAACCATGTTTCTTCGTCTTGGTTCGAGATTTCGTCGATCCACTTTCAAGACTGGCGCCGACATCAATTTCATTGCGGTACGGTGATCGATCGTCCCGGTGTATTTTCTTTGGCTCATCGTCAACGCCCAATTCAATAGATGCAAAGTCGTCTCGGGATCTTGGTTCGGTACTCGATTTCTTTCTCTTTCGTCGCTTTGTAGCAGATGAATGGCTGCGGCGATCAGAGACATCAGGAACAGCCATGAGAGAATCGAAATGAGATTTCTCTTCTCGCTTTGATGAAATTGAACGTCGTCGAAAGGTCTTCTCTGCAGATTTTATTTGCGCTTTCCAGCTATCACCTTCACTGGATCCATCTAATGTATAGTCTTGAGGCATGTCCAAACTCTTTTCCTTCGATGGCAAATATTTATCAAGTTCGTCCTTGCTTTCGGTGGAGTTCGGGCCATCTTCGACGACTGACGTTGCTGTATCTTCGAAAGATCCAGAATTGAGTAGATTGACATAGTTTTTCTGTTTCGAAGATGTACGAGTTTTGCTTGACTTGCTAGAACGAGAACTGCGACTGGTGGACGGCTTGGTTGAACGCTTGCTTACTTCATCGTCAATGGACTCAGAATTGAGCAAATCATCATAGTGATCAAGTTTAGGAGATGTATGACTCGTACTGGGTTTGTTGAAACGAAAAGTGTGACTGGTGGAAGGCTTGGTCGAACGCTTGCTTGTAGCGTCGTCAATGGATTCCGAATTGAGCAAATCATCATAGTGATCCAGTTTGGGAGATGTGCGACTTGCGTTTGACTTGCTAGATCGAGAAGTGCGGCTGGTAGAAGACTTGGTGGAGCTCGAGCGCTTGCTCGCTGTGTCTTCAACAGACTCAGAATTCAGCAAATCATCATAATGATCCAGTTTTGGAGATGCACGAGTTGCGCTTGACTTGCTAGATCGAGAAGTGCGACTATTGGAGGCCTTGGTCGAGGCCGAGCTCATACTCTGAGTAGATGAGCCATACCTTCGGCTTTGGCGTACACTCGGCTTGCTGCGACTCTTCGCGGACGCGTCCTGGGATAGTCTATCTTGATCTTTCCAACGAACTCTCTTCTCACTATCCTGTGTTTGCATTGTAGAATTGTACGTCGATAGTGAATAGTCTTCGGCTTCATACTGTGGAAAAAGCAGCTTCGGTTCCGCTGGAGATGTCTCTGTATCCGATAAAGCACTCTCTTCAAATGGGTCGTAGAAATCGGCATCTTTTCTCTTCTTCTTCTTCTTGCTTCGTGTTTTGCTTCGGCCAACAAGACTTGATTCACTACCTCGCTTTGAATCGATGGTTTCGTCATCGCCCTGCTCTTCGACTTCGGCGAACAGGGCATCAATGCTGCTTTCGGTTCGAGGTCGTTCCGCCTCCTCTTCGCGTTGGATTTCGGCCAATCGCTTCTCGCGATTCTCTCTTCTACGTTCCTCCTTCCTACGGACGGCAGCTTCGGCTTCTGCTGCTTTGCGAATTGCGTCTCGCTTCTCTTTCTCTCTGCCCTCTCGGGCGCGTGCAGTAGCATCGATCTTCGCTTCCAATGCTTCCGTCAAAGAGTGCAGTGCTTCCTGGGCTTGATCCTCCATTGTTCTGGAATGGTCATACTGGACGACGATATCTTTCAATGATGGATACTCTGCAATATAAAAATGTGAGCTTGGACAAGACGGGACAAGATGCTTTAATCGAAATGCAGACTTACGCTTGAATAGCTTAGTCCTTTCGGCGACTACCTGCTCCAAATGAGCCAGTCGCTTCTCCTCGGTCCGCTGCAACTCCGCTTCGTGGTTTTTCTCGAATTCTTTGTTTGTTGTTTTTTCTTCGGTTTCGGTCCGAGCAAATTCAATATCCAACGATTGGATCGCTTCTTTCTTTGCCTTCAAGCGGCAATTGAGATCACTCGACTCGGACTCAAAAGCTTCCTCAAGTATCTTCTCGCTATCAGCGATTGCGGTGATTTGATTGGACAGAGACTCGACTGTGTCCTTGTCCTTCTTGATGTCTCCATCAATCTTGACGAGACGACCGGAATTCTCAGTGGATTCCTTGCTCTGTTCTTCTTGAAGTTCCAATGACGACTTGCGCAACTCCACGACTTCAGAGCGCTCCTTCTCCAATTCCTGTTGAAATGTGGAGACCGCGTCGCTCCGAGTCTTTTGTGTGACTTCTTCGCATCGAGCAGAATCAGTCAAAGACTTGGCTTGATCGTGACTCTTCTGAGCGTCTTCCTTGCTTTGTTGGATGCTCGCACGAATGGAATCGAGTTTGGCACGAAGTTCTTCATTTTCGGATTTCTTGGTACTGGCACTGGATTGCACCTTTTCTAGGATGGCAGAGAACTTCTTCTTTTCAAGAGATGGAATCGCTTCTTGGAAATCATTCGAGTAGGAGCTGAGAGCATGGCCTTCCTTTTCTTGGATGGCGACAACTCCTTTCTTGTGTTCGAGGAGTTCTTTAGATAGCTTTTCCATTTGAGAAGCAAATTCCTTATTTTCCGCCTCGGAAGTGAGTGTCTCTTGTTCGTACTTTTGGATTTGGCTTTGCATTTCATTCATGGCGTCCGTGTGGCGTTTGGCTTCCGATTCCAACTCGCCATCAATGGCTTGGACACGAAGTCGAGTAGATTCTTCCGAGCTTTGGGCTGAGAGGAGCTCTTCTTCCAAAGCCGAGCTCTTGCTGCGAATTTGTGTCACCTCATCCGCAATCTTGTGCGCCCTGGAGACTTCATTCTGAACTGACTTGCGCAACTTCTCTTCAGCGAGCTTGGCATCCAGGCAGTCCTTTTCCAACAGAGCAAACTTTTCCTTCGACTCGGCATTGAGTCGTTGGAGAATTGCTTCCTTGTTTTGCAGACCGATAATCAGTGAGCTAATCTTTCGAACTAGAGTTGTATTGGTCCGTTGCGCTTGGAGGCCTCGCTTGAGTTGCTGCTCAAAGGCCTTGATATCATCCCCCGATCGACTTCCAGCAAGTCGACGAGTGCCCAATTCTCTTGTTCCGCAGGAAAGAAATTCCCGGAACTGGCGAATCTGGGCTCGCAGTTCCCCATTGGCGTACTTGGTTTGTTCCAGTTGCACCTCCAGAGTGGCCTGCTGCTGCACACGATTCTGCTTGGTGATTTGCGCATTGGTGAGCTTGCGTTGCGAATCTCGCTGCTGCATTTCCAAGACTCGGAGATCCTCGAGGACTAAAAGCAATAGTGTTAGCATTGTAATGAATTCTTTAGAAGCAAAAGATGATTCTATAAAAGTTGGACGTACCTTCGGACATGGTAATGACTCCAGGATCTTGTTGTTGTTGTTGAACAGTGGCGGTGGCATGTTTGGTAGAAACAGAAGGCCGCTGCACCTGGACGGTGCGCTGCACCTGAACTTGATTCCCATAATCGAAGCTTGATTGTGCATTTGTATTGTGCTGGTTCTTGTTGCGAAGCGAGGATGGATTCCGTGGCTCCGGAATGATTCGTCGGTCCGAGCCAAATGCTGGTCGACGAGGAACAGTGCCGACGGGATTCGAATTCTTGTTTCTCCTGTTGTTGCGCAACAAGAAAGACATGGCTTACAATACCCCTTTAGATGTAAAAGGGTATTGCGAATTGGCTTCTGAAATCTTGCTGCTGTGTGCCAAGAGATAGACAAGCAATGCTAGGCAGTAATATTCAATATCTTGGATGGATCGCTTTGGCTGCATTCGAATTTGATGTTTGACTAAACCAGACTTTTAAAATATTTGGTCGAAAGAGTCTAATCGACTCGATCGACTGATGTCGGTCAACACATTTGACCGTTGCCAAAAATATCGCATCAATCATCGCCAACGTGCACCACTGCTTCTTCCTCACATTTTCCCAACACTCCTCCGCCACCCTTCCATACGGTCATCCCATTGACGGTTTTGCTTCCAAAAGCATTCTATTCCTCAACTGGTAGAGTCTGATAATGTACACATTCGATACGATGCACCCCAACGGTGTCGAGTCCGAAGATATCACAACCTTGCTTCGAAAACTGCGGCGACAGGAGGATTATTCTCGTTCTTCGGTCATCGAGACAATGTTCCAATCTCTCATTGTGAACAAGGAAATCGAAAAGGAAGAATCCAAATTTGATTTTATCATGGATGATGGTATTGAAATGATGGCCCAAGCAATTCTAGACCGAACATGTTCCTCCGAACACATTGCCCAAGGACTTCGAATACTCTTTGCCATTGCCGAAGAATCCAGATGCCATTGGATCAGCGTATTCAATGGAATGGGAAGAGTCAAGGGTATTTTTGAGTTTCTGGAATTTTATCGACTGAATTCAACCATTCTGAGTAAAATCCTGTTCCTAATGACCAAGCTGGCAGAACATGGTATCTTCCATTTCAAGGCATCCCATGTAATTCGATCTATCTGGTTCTTTGATTTGATTCTGGAAGGTCTCGAAGAGCATCCTGGTTCCATGGATCTCTACCAGGCTTTCTGTCAATACATGGGATGTTATAAGAAGAGGTGTCCCCCACGGGAAGTTCACCAAAGAATTGTCACGTACTTGATGAATGGACTAGCATCAGCATCCAATAGCAATAGCTTGGAATGCAAAGCAAGCGGACGGTCCGTTCTGGAGAGATTTTGTTTTGGTACCATTTGCAGTAGGAGGAGAAGCAAGGATTGCGCCCAAAATCGAGTGACTTCGTTTGGATGCCACCGACCTGCAGCAGCTGCATGAGGGAGATAAATGAAATGGCGCAATGATACGATGGTTCG